AGCTTTGGTGTCTGTGGTGAGGCAGGAGCTTGGTTCACAGGCGGTTGTGGACGTAACTTCTGGGCTTCTCAGGCAGCTGGGGTCTTTAACCCTGGGTCTGTCCTCCACCTCGTCAGTTTAGGAGTAGAAGTTCCCATGCACGGGAAGGCATGCAGAGGTCTCCGAAACCTGTGAAGGCGGACAGCCAGAGGGTGTTGCTGCGGCTCCTCACCCTGCCCCGGGAACACGGAACCTGGGGGAGGGATTAGGAGAGTGGAAACCAGCAGACATCTGCAGAACGCCCAGCCCTAACCCGAATCAGCCCCATGGCTCCCGTGTGTTTCATCCTCACCATGGTGCGGGGAGGAAGCTTTGACTACCTCCACTTTGTAAGCTCAGAGAAGCAGAATCTGGCCAAAGGTTGCCCAGCTGGAGCCTCAGTCTCCTCTGCCCGACTTGCACTGTATAAAGTCAGACCAACCCATGGCGTGTAATTGGTTGAAAAGCCTGGGAGCAGCGCTTGCTCCTTCCTGCCCCTGGTGTTTCAGATTCATGTTTTCCCACTGGTGGGCTCTGAGCGTCATGTGTGCTGATTCTTCAAGCACAGAAGAAGCTCATGGTGAGCACGATGTCACACTCACCTAGGTGACACTGAAAAGTCCAAGCTGCTTTAGGTGCACCTTATTAAAATGAATCCCAGTAAGACTGGATTGCTTCCCAGTAAACCTGGATTGCTAGTTTTTACTGCATGGTCTTCATCTTCAACCTCTAGGTAACACAAAGTGTTGGTGCCCTGGTAAACATTATAAACATGTTCAATAACCCCCCTGGCTGTTCATCTGATCAAACTGAATTCCCGTCTAGACAGCCGCACCCGCCCAGTGCGATCTGGATGTCCGCCCTTCTCACTGCCCAAGTTCTCTGCTCCTGCCCCATCTTTTGCAAAAAGCTTCCTCAGTTACACAGAAGATTCCTCAGAGCCAGCCTGACTTTCCTAGGCGTTCCACACACTTGCCAAGTTCTTCTCTTGGTCTCTCCATTTGATTAATTGCAAAAATGAGGTAAAATAAAGATGTCCTCCCACGAGCAGCACCAGGGCTGCAGATGGCTCTTGTCTGCACACTGCAGAGACCAGCTGCTGGGCTGAGTTCCGCGCCGAGATCTCCACCCTGCTGTGACTCAGCTGTCTCTACAAGGCAGACTAGGGCAGGGTGTCAGAATTTACCAGGCAGAGCACCAGTCACTGGAGAGCCCAGGCTGGAGGACGAGCAGCCGCTCTGCTCTGCACAGCCCAGGCTCTGGTGCTCAGGCAGCATTGCCGTGACCTCAGCATTGCCGTGACCTCAGCATTGCCGTGACCTCAGCAGTTGCCTTTTTGTTCCTCTTGCCTTGATTTTTTTTGCCACTACATAAATTGAAGGCTAGAAATAAGTTTTCTGTATACTAATCTGAGTGATCAGTCAAATGGAAGTAAGTAGGTTTATCTAACTAGTAAAATCTAACAGGTTTTTTCCAAAAATCTGATCTGAACTTGAGTTATTTTAATTGATTCTGTGTCCAGTAATCTTGAGTTTTCTAAATAGTGATTTAAATCAATCAACCCAGCGTAGCCTAGTTTTGCTGTGACGTATGATAAACATTTGATCAGAACACAACCAGCTTGGGCGAAACGTCCTCCCTCCAAGGACAATCTTGGGATTAGACTCAGCTGTGCTTAGGGGCCGTTTGTCCAAAATACTTCTCCTTTGAAACACGCAACTCTCGAAATATTTACAAATCAATATTGTAATATGTCCCAATATTCTGATTTGGGACAAACCCTTAGAGATTTGTTTTCTGGAATGAGGGATGCTGCATTTGCCTTCACCTAGAACCAGACAGGGAGAAGGAAGGGAGGTGCAGGCAGGGGGCAGAGGGGACAGTGGCGGAGAAGACAGTGGTAACCAGAGGTTGCCCTGCCCAGATGGACAGTGCCACCAACTCGTCAACTTTAACTAAAGAAGTTGCCTAATTTTGCCTACATTTAGTTTTGAATAGACCAACTTTTTTCTTAATCAGAAAGGTAGACCCACAGATGTTTGATGCCTTGTTATTCAGTGAATTGTAGATACATTGCAAGTTCTTAATACTGAGTTAAAATAACACTGCATGGAATTAAAAAGAGACTACACTTGGGAAGGGCAGCTCAGTGTGTCCAGCGTGGGTAGAGACAACTCACAAGGATCTCGCTCATTCACGCTAGACCCCAAGGGAACAAAAGTATCTTTTTCCCTTTTTTAACCCATTCTTATCTAATAAAGTCCCATATTCAATAAATGCCCCCAAAGTCCATTTTCCAATGAGAGGATTACCCTGTAAAGTTCTGGTTGTGCAGTTTAAGCACATTGTAGAGGCTGATGTAGAATCACGTTGGATGCTGAAACTCTGTGCAAAGGCAGCCTTGCGTCTAAAATCCTGCAGATCCACCTGCCGCTTTTTCACTCTCGTGCCATAAAACATGAAGGATTCACCCGATTGTCTGACGTTGGCTGTGCTGTGATCGCCACGAGGACCCTTGGCTGTGCCGGGACAGCCCTATGTGAACCTCTCTACATGAGGTCCTCACTGGAAATGTTTCTGTTTGTGTGGCCAGGGTGATGGGGAGGCCCCTGTGTGTCCACACAGGCTCAGAGGTCTCCGTCCCCAGAGCGAGCCCTGTGCCATGGAGAACGCTCCTGTTCCTACCAGTCCTTCGACCAGCCCTGGGGTGACGGGGCCTGTGCAGGAGTCTCCTAACCCTCCCTTCATCCCTCACCTAAGGCTCTGCATAATATGAGATGGAGAAATTCAGCCGTGAGGCAGCTCTCTCTTTTCTACAGAGTGACTTTGGGGTAACAAAACTGGCCTTGTGTTCAGACAAGTGTAATGCTTGTGCTTTAGAGATTTCTCCTTCCTGTGTTTAGAAAATAATTCATTTTGTCGTCTTTCAAGGAAAGTTGCCTGGGTTCATCAGGAGACTGGGGGCTCACATCCTCTTTAGAAATACATCATATAATTGTCCTTAAAGACTCAGGCCACTGACAACGGGGTCTGAGGTGACAGAACAAATGGCCCTCAGGCGACCTGATGAATGCCCGTGTTGGCCCAGGTCCAGAGGAACCGATGGATGAGCCTGTGTGTGGAATGGGTCTGGCCTAAGTCTTTACTTCTGTGCAGACTTGGGGGGATCAGACATTTGCTGCTAAGATTTGAATTAGGAAAAAAAAAAAAAAAGAAGGAGGAACATGCTCTTTCTGATCCTGCTTTATCTTCCCTGAAAATTCTGCAGATTTTTTGGATACTTGGCAGAGAAGCCATCCTTGGTCTGCTCTTTCTGTTCCCTCACTCTTAGAGCAGGGAACACAGATGACAACTTACTGCCTTTTATTTTTAGAAGAAGGGTGAGCACTTTCCCGATGTCTCAGCCCATCTTGTTACATTACACCTGAGTTACGAGATGTAACAGACAGGCTGGGAGTCTGCACCTGTGTGTCTGGCTGTGTGTCTGGCTGTGTGTGTTATGAGTCTGTGTTGTGAGTCTGTGTTGTATGTCTGTGCTGTGAGTCTGTGTTGTGAGTCCATGTTGTGAGTCCGTGTTGTGTGTCCGTGCTGAGTCTGTGCTGTGAGTCTGTGTTGTGTGTCTGTGCTGAGTCTGTGCTGTGAGTCTGTGTTGTGAGTCTGTGCTGAGTCTGTG